GCGTGTGTGTGTGTGTGTGTGTGTGTGTGTGTGTGTGTGTGTGTGTGTACTAGCATTTTTCTCCATTGCTGCAGCCAAGCTTTCACCTTTCACCCACGGATCAGCATAAAGTACAATGTGAACAGAGCTTATGCTCACAGACATTACATTTAGGAGCTGATTCTACTTGTGGGAAAGTGCATTATCCCATTAAAGGACTGAGTATTCCACCCACCTCTTTAGCAGGTCTGAGAGTTAGTCTGACTTCTCAGGGGACCCTTGGCCAGATAATAGGCCTGACCCAACTGGCCCAACTGAAATGTTAGGTCTCCATTCAGACTGGAGATTCTGTTCTCTTAACCAGTTTTGCCTCAGTGGACCCTATTACTACTCCACTCTGTCCATAGAAGATAAGATTCCCAACCTCTGGGTTACAATTTTCCAAACGGTTCTGAATTTATTCACTTCTAAACAGTGAACTCAGACTCTGGAGCAGTGAGATCCCTTCTCTCCTCCTCTTGGTCCTCCTGTCTGGATCTCAGAGCTATGCCATCTCAGAGAAAAGGACGAACCGGATCCAGTCCAGCTCCTGTGATTCTTAGGGCATCACAGAAAATTCCCAACCACCCCCAGGCAGAGAGTGACTCACCAGCAGTGACAAGGGCCAAACCCAAACAATGAGTAGGCAGTCAGAACCATCCAGCTGTTAGCAGAGAGAACAACTGTCAGCGAAAGGAGGAGAAAACAGCCTTACAACAGACACCAGAAGTTGGGTTACCCAACTCAGACCATCCCACTTGGCAGGTAGGTGGTCAGCCCACACTCATTGGAGGTAGGTAAGGGTAAGAGACAACTGAGCCTTCTCAAGTCACCTGCCCTTGGAAAGTTCTCAACATGGGTTACAGCCTCGATTGGTGGCTGGCTGATTCTTCTCCACCTGCTTTTCAAGAGTGTAGAAAATGCTTTCCTTTGCCCTTCAAGAAGACGGGATGCTCCCACTTTTTACTACAAGCTTGTTGACACTCCCAATTCTCTTTTGTACCGTTTCCTTTACTGAGTGGGTGCCTCCAGTAAGAATGAGCCAGTCCACAGCCTGGTGTTTGCTCCTATAGCTTCTTGTTCTTGTTTCCCTGGGTTTGGCAGCCTAGTTCAAGGCTGGAGAATATTTTCCCACACTGAGAATGCTTTCTGGCTAGTCTTCAGGGCGTGAGGGACCAGAGAATGCACAGTTTCACCCCCAAATCCCCATCTAGGACCTTTACCTCCATAACCAGGAAGAAGTTGATGGTCCCACCCTGGCATCAGCCTAACCCCCCACTCCTCCCCAGACACTCCTTCAGAAGGTTCCCAGCCCCCAGAGGTCAACCATTAATCACCTTCTAGAAGCCTGTTGCAGGGTTTGTAATGGAAATGACTCCGTCGCCATGGTAACTCTGGCTGGCCTGGCCAGGAGCTGCTCTTGGCTGCCTGGCCTTTCTGGGTCTCAGGTTTATTTACAAGCTGTGAGTTGCTGCCTGAGAAGTATGAAGAGAAGTCCCATCATGTGGGGCCTGTGCGGAAAAGGCCGAGGATGAGCACATAAGCCTAAACTAGACCTAATTTAAACCCGGCACTCATTTGGAGAAAGAGGCAAGTTTTCAATGAACTGCTGCCCAGCTTCCTGCCAGTCCATTAAAAAATTGTCACAGACGGGCACAACTGTCCATTTGGGCTTTGAAGTGAGTGAACTTGTGTTTAGGCTTTCCCTTCCACTTCTTGTTGTGGGATTTGAGGTAAATTACTCGAGCATTCTGCCTCTCCACACAGGAGAGGAGCACTCACTCACAGCGCAATGCTCAGAATTAAATACGGCAATTCTATAGTGTAGGAGTGGCAAGCCCTCTCTGTAAGGAGCCAAGCAGTAAATCTCCACAGGCCAGATGGACTGTATTGAGGCTACTCAGCTCTGCCCTTGTAGCCTGAGAGCAAAACGTAGCTGAGTCCTACAGCACTGCAGTGCGCTGGCTGACCGGCGGCCTTTGTTGGGTTGTCTAGCGTGTACATGCATGAGTTCTGGAAAGGCACTATGTATTAATGCTGTACATCACTGACCACCACAGAGAAGGGGTAGAGTGAGGACAGTAGCAACAGGATGAGAGGCCAGGCCTGGTGGCACAGTGTTGGCTCGGACAGACTCCACGGCCACCACTCGTGTTTTCAGGGAAGGCTGGCAGGCACAAAGGGCCACCTGGCACACTGAGCTAGGATTTAGTAGCTCTCTTCAGCTGGGGCCCTTCTCCAAGAGGTTTGCTGGGGAGAGGGGAGGATGTGTGGACACCTAATCCACTCTGAATACTCGGGTTTACACCAGCCCCGGGCAGTGAGGTTTTTCTGAGACTCTCCAAGCTATGACAGCTACAGATTGTTGAACTCTGCTGTTAACTGTGTTTGCGCACCGGTTCTAAACAGCCAATGGGAGAGATGGGCCAAACTTACCCTGCTTGATGAGCTCTCAAAAATCTCTTTGAAAGACGCGAGGCTTTGTCTTTGGAACCAGGAGGCTATGAACTGAAGGCCATCTCTCTGCCTTTTTAGAGTAGTTGTCTACAGCAGATGACAGGGAGTGCCTGACTTGGATCCATCCTCTGCTTTGTGGCCAAGGCTGACTGGCCTCAGGTCTGAGCCGAGCAGCTGTTGCCAAGGGGAATCCCTCAGGAGGAAGAATGTCCTGCTGGTCTGAAGGCATCTGGGACTTTTCTAGTCTAGAAAAACTGCTTTTCCCAGGAACTTGTGCCTCAGTTCACCTCTCTATAAAGCAGGGCTCTCCCTCCCGCACCCTCAGCCTTTGTGAATGGGTTTGGGGTAGAAGGCAGCCTGGGGGTGTCTAGAGGACAGGTGGTGCCTGCCTCTTTGTGTGGCTCATTTGGAGGATGCCATGTTTGTGTCCCCGCAAGCTCAGAATACCTGGCAGCTTTCCCTTCTCGCCCCAGGGGCTGCGGCGCTGTCAGCCTCCTTGCCGTGGAGGTTTTGTGAATTCAGCCCCTTAGCCCCACCACTTACATGGGGATGGGACTTCACAGCAGGTCCAGAGGCATCTTCTGCGTTTGCCTGCCTAACAAACCTTCGGGGCTGGCACGACAACAGACTTGACCCAGAGGTGAAAATGAGGCCCATTCTGTGACACTCTGACCCCATGCCTTCTTTCTTCTACTTCTGGGCGGCACCATACAGGGCTCTCCTCTCCATCTTTGTGTCCGCCAAGCATCTCAGGAGACTTACTTATTCCCCTTTAAAAAGCTCTGGCTTATCTGAATTGTATCACTATCTAAAAGTCTCAAGCATTTCTGTGTTGGAGAGGCGATGGAAAGGCAATTAAAAAGCAATGAGGTGAGGAGGGCTTTTATTCTGGAAAGGCACCCTCCATCCCGAGTCCTGAGTCTTCTGTCTTCATCACTGTGTTAGTCAGGTTTCTCTAGAGGAACAGATTTATAGAATAACTATATATGAAGAGGTTTTATTAAAGTGGCTTACAGACTGTAGTCCTGCTAGTCCAATAATGGCTGTCTAACAATGGAAAGTCCAAAAATCCAGAAGCTCTTCAGTCCATGAAGCTGGATGTCTTAGCTGGTCTTCAGTATGTGGCAGAATCCCAAAGAAGTAGGCTCTAGTGCCAGTGAAGGAATGGACTCGCCAGTGAGAGCAAGAACATGCAGGCAAAGAGAGCAAGCTTCCTTCTTCCATGTCCTTTATATAGGCTGCCAGGAGAAGGTGTGGTCCAGGATAAAGGTGGATCTTCCCACCTCAAAAGATCCAGAATAAAAGTGGATAGTCCTACTTCAAATGATTTAATTAAGAAAAAAAGATCCCTCCCAGGTGTACCCAATACTGGGATTTTAGGTAACTCCAGATTTAGTCAAGTTGACAAACAAGAAGAGCCATCACAATCACCAAAATGAATTTTATTTCACTCCAGGCCATTCTTGAGCCAGACAGATTTGAGGGAGAGCAGGAGCTGTTTTATACCATTTTCATCTGGCGCTCTTTCTGCTTGTCAGGGGAAAGAAGACAGTTGGAATTCATAAAGAATTTACTCTGGCTGTGAATGTGTATCCAGCTGTCTCCACACATCCATGCTCACCAATGTCCAAGTGCTACACAAAGCCAAACACAGTTCAATGTCTGTGTCCTCTTCTGCAGACGTGTATGTGTGTGTGTGTGTGTGTGTGTGTGTGTGTGTGTGTGTGTGTGTGTGGTGTTTCCCTCCCTGTATGCTCATAGCCTGACTACAACTTATAGGAATTCAAGAGACAAAAGTTAGAGTCCATGTAAACTTATGTCAACCTCATTGTATTAGCTGGTCCTCTTCTGGGAGAAAGGGGCACCTTGGCCCCAAGTTGCTTCCAATCTCTATTCTCTTTACAAAGACAGTTTTTGTTTGTTTTACAGTTTATATTCAAGTCTTGGGAGGGAAATTTGGTTTAAAGATTCCTTATTTTTTTTTTTAATTATGTTTGTATGTGTCACCATGTGGCTTTTTGCATGTGAGTGCAAATACCCACAGAGGCCAGAAGAGAACATTGCATTTCCACCCTGGAACTGGATTACAGTTGGCTGTGAGCTGCCTGATGTGGGTGCTGGGAAGCAAGGTTAGGGCTTCTGCAGGAGCAATGAGCACTGCTGCTGCTGAGTCAGCTTTTCGGTCCCTCTCCCAATTTTGAAAGAGGAAGAAACTGGGTTTTTGTTTATTTTGTGTTTTAGTGGGATGCAAGATTCCCCACACATTCTGGGCCCGGCAGAATTTTGGCCATAAAACCAATCCTTTGGTGGGTATGAAGTAGTGGCCTTTTGTGTGTTTCCTTTGGAGGCCAGCTTCAAGTTCTAGAATTTCTCATGTTTGTTAAACACACTAATTTGTCAAGAGAAATATATGGTTGCATCTCCCTTTCAACTATCTCTTCCCCTACTTCAGCATAGGGTGATGGTTCATAAAAGAAACCTTGCAAGGCCGTTCTTCCCCTTCTCCTTTCCTCCTGTTCTTCCTCCCTTTCATCGCCTCCCTTCTTCCCACTTCTCCTGTGACCCGTCCTACTTTACTGACCAGAAAGCTATGGGGGTTTGTACTGGCTTTACCTCCAGGCTCAATTCTGTTAGAGAAAACAGTGAGTCAAGAGCTAGTTATTTTTTCCCTATATTTTGTTATTTGTTTTTGTAGTAAATATTTCAAACTTAAAAAAAAAAACAACTCGAGGACATTTGGTATGATATTTGCCACTCTTCTTGTTGTTGTGACTCATGGTTTGAAGGGACACAGTTCTTCACTGTGGGAGAGTCAGCATGACAGGAGCGTGAGGCAGCTAGTGCATCTGCGGTCGGGAAGCTATGAGAGATTAACGCAGGCCTTCCATTCACTTTCTCCCTTTCATTTAGCCTGCGACTGCAGCAATACATGGTGCCACCCACAATCACGGTGGGTCTTTCTACCTCAGTCCCACCCCTTTGGAAACATCCTCACAGACATGTTTAGTAGTGTATCTCCTAATCTAGTGAGCTACTTGTGGCACAATCTATTTGGAAGGAACATTTACACTGTTGTTCAATGGAAGACAATGGCCAAGGATTGATACCAGTCAGCAGTTTGGCTGCCCTCCTGTATGGGATCCATTAGCACAGCCATTCTCTAATTTGCTCTTCCATGGCACACAGGAGAAGTCACTGCTGTGGAGAACTCGATGGCCGCTCAGCTTAGGACTCCTGCTGGAAGGAAATTAGAATCCGGAGGGTCACTTCTCTGTATATAACATTGGGGCAGGAAATCCAGTTTGGAC